TGAATAAACATAACTGGCAACTGTTTTGTTGGTCAATTATAAATAGAATAACCAACAAGTTTTCAGTTATAAAATTCTTGTCGGTTATAGTTTTATAACCAACAAAATTGTAGGTTGTTAGTTGTGGTGTTGTTGGTATTTCTGTATGTTAAACAAAAGTAAAAGCCTAAAAGGGGTTGTGGCCATGTAGTTGAGCACTAACCAAAATCAGTCACAGACAAAGTAAAAAAAGTGTTCCTACCCTTCTCCTCCATCGATTCTACATACCAATGCTTTAGTGATTGTACTTTGTTAAGTGATGCACTAAAATCACTCTAGTAAGTGTATTGGCTACTTCAAGTAATATAATGATGAGAAGAGTGTTGAGTCCACAAGAATTGTGATTAATTAAGTATAAAAAATAATTAATTTGAATTTATTTGAACAATTGAAAAGAAGAAACTTTAATTAAAAATAATAAAAATAATAACAATTAAAATAAAAGTATCCAATATATGAGGTATTAAGGCATCGACTTTACCATAATCAATCAATATAAACTATGGATTAATATGCTTTCAAAACCAATTTGTTAAGTTTTATTGCATGTGATGGCAAACTCCCCTAAATTAATTAACTAACTTTCTCAAGTTAAGTTAATTATTCATCTGTTTGTTAAATTAGTCATATTTTCATATAATTTAAAACAAACAAGTAAGTATTAAATTTTATGGAAATCTCTAGCTTAAGAAGGGGGAGCTCATAACTCTCTTCTCTTCCTCTATTACCACAGTGACACTAATTACCTTTCGATCTCATAGTCTAACACATGATTTATATTATTATTAGTTTAATTTATGTAATTTTTTCTCAAGTTCATGCATAAATCACTAAATCAATTGAAAAGTGACTAAGCTTTCAATGCATTAAGTTGAATAACATAAACTAATTATGTGAATAACTTTAATTGAAAATATAAAAATCATAAAATCTATATTAAATTGATTAGGTTGCATTATAGCCATAGTAGACTAAATTAGTTCATAATAAAAGTAATAAAACTTGAAATCATAATTAAGAATACAAGAATATCAAACAATAGATAAAAATAATTTAAAGAAAAACAAATTTTAATTTGAAGAAATTGAAATCCTTAATCTTCTATTATTGATAAATTCTCTATCTTGATTTCTAAGAATGCCCAAAAAAGGGTTACAACTAGCCTCCAAAAAAAAAAAACTCCTCAATTCTAGACTTAGATGAGTATTTATAGGATTTTAGAAATGAGACCCACACCAAAATAATAATAAGCCACCCACTGACTTGCTTAAATCACATAAAAGGTCAACACCCTTAGCAACGTGCCAACACGTTCAGTTAAGTGCAGAATCAAAACTCCATGTCGGGTTTTCGGCTTCAAAGCAATTTCTGTTAATGGCAAAATAGTAGTCGTAGCCCCTAACTTCTGGATTCTGCACAAGTTAATTCTCATGTTTTTGATCTCTACAATTTGCTCTTAAAAATTATGATTTCTTCCAATTAAGTCCTTTTCTACACAAATGATAAAAATTATATAAAACCATGTAAATCTTATAAAACTCATCTAAATATTAATAATATCAAGACATAAATTCCACACCAATATGTATATAAATTCAGTTCATAAAATTTTCCCAAACTTAAGTTTTACTTGTTTTCGAGTAAAATAAGAAACAAATAAACAAAATGAAAAAAATAAAATATAACTCATTTTCGTAGGAATTATGTACAATTGCACTTAGTGTGTATAACAAGTCTTTAAACCTCTAGAT